AGTGAAGAAGAAGAAGAAGAAGAAGAAGAAGAAGAAGAAGAAGAAGAATGAGAAGAGCTTCAGATGAAATTATGGAACAGTCGCTGATTTCATTTACAATGCCAAGATTGCTGGGAAAATCTTCAAAAGGGAAGTTTAGACAATAAGTGACAGGAAGACTGTGACAAAAAGGTTTTAACAAGGCCAAGTTATAATTAGTAATAAGGTAATATTAAGATTAAAAAAACATAACAATTTTTTTTTTATTTTACAGAGATTTGATGACCATCAAGTAGGTATCCATCAGGAAAATATAATAAAATGTTGTTGAACTTTAAAAACAATAGAAATTGAATTAAATAAATTTTACTGTCAAAACTTAATGTTGCTGGCAATTAAATAACAAATTTAGAAGTTGTTTAATTTTTGAGTAAGAAGAGTAAGGAATATTTCGTAACAAAATTAAACTATTCACCATCCCAGTACTCGCATGAGTGGTGTTTTCTAGCATGCGAGAAAAAGGACAGTGCCCTGAGAAAACGTCAGTATTCTGACATCCAAAATTTTAATAACAACTAGCTAGTGACTCCTTTAGGTTTAATTATAAAAGAAATTATAGAGGCAAAATATAGTGTGGTTAAATAGTTAAAAAGGGAGACTTTATAAGAGCGAGATTACGAGTCATTACAATAGCATGGCAAAAGCCAGGCAAGAGTAAAATATTGTAAATTTTATAAAAGAGAAACTTTGAATTACTACAATAGCATGCTTAATGCAGGATAGTAATATATTATATATTTAATTATGATAGGGTGGAAATTATGAGTTACCACAATATGGACCAGAGAAACAACAACATATTTCATGATTGAACTTTGATTTTCAATCGATATTGTACTTCAAATATTTATAATTTTCAAATACTTAATTTATTACTTATACTGTAACATAGTATTAATATGTTACAAATACTTAAGAGAAAAGCACCAACAAGTTATTTTTAAAAAGAAATTAATCATAATGTTTCACATACATTTAAAAAGGAACATTTCATCTTGTTGATAATAGGGTAGTGATACTAGGATTCTGGGCTAATATGATATGACAATTATGAAAAATGAATGGTGCACTGAATCCAAATGTCTCCTGTAAAGTAAAAGGGAGAACTAACATTAGAGGAATATAACCACAAAATTAAATAAAATATCTAAGTAGACAAAAGTAGATACATAATTTTTAGAAACTTAACACACTTCAGTTCATTACATGTTCTTACTAATTGCAGTAGTTGGGAAGCCTTGCTGATAATATTGGGAAAATGATCATTGAAGTTCACTTCCAAAACAAATACCACACCAAGGTAACTGAACAACCATATTTGTAATGAGGTTATAAATTTTTAGTACGATTTTGCATCAAGTATATGCAGCAAGTACATACTTAACACATATAAAAGTAATTTAAAAGTAAATTGATACTTTACTGTACAACATCAGAATTAGCTTGTGTTTTAATAGCTTTAAACGATTTTTAAATTCCCAGCAAAGAACAAATAGTAAAAATTTCCTTGTAAACTTGCAGATTGGCAATTAACTTATTGAAAAGAGGAGTTTAAAACGTTATCCTTTAGGAACCTCTGAAGAGGCAAACATAACAAATGAAATATTAGTTTTGAATCTAACACATTCTTTTTGATCAGTTTGATAACTTTGGTACCATTCAAGTACACACCCAAATTACAAAATGATTTTTTAAAGCTGTTGAAGTCAGGTTCTCACTGTAAATTGGAGTATTGTGATAAGGGGCCAACCATAAATTATGTAACACAAATTTGCAGGATTTGTATTAATCCCTCTCTCCCTGTAACGCACTTGTAACATGGAATTGAAAGAATCCTCCTAATGAATTATGTATTACTTGCAACAACTCTCCCACCTTATAAATGCGAGAAGTGAAAATAAATTATAGCCCAGTAAAAAATTGCATTCATTTTATTTGTTTTGTATAAAAATTTATGATAATTACTGCACCTAACAATAAGACTAAGTGCAAAATTTGAGTGAAGGAAGAACGCACAGGCAAGAAAATTTCTGATCACAAGCTGTGCACCCCCCACCCGTTTTGGACAGTGCAAGGGTGAGAATCAACTGTGCCAATTTAATTGTATTCTACAAAATACTAGATCAGTTTTGAATATTTTCTTTGTAATCTTAGATTCAATACAAAATTGATGAAAAAATGTTTCCATTTGTTGTAACAATTTCTAATAACTTTAAATTATTTGTTTTGAAAACAATTAATTGGATAATATTTTAATGTTTCAGTATAAGACTCAAAAACAAATGTTTTTCAGCAAATGTTGAAAAATATAAAAAAAATATCAATGTTATGTAACACTAATGGAATATCATCTTGCTGATTTCTAACTTTGAATGGTAAATATTCTCAAGTAGAGCATATTACGGTGTATAGTGCATTTCTCACTATTAGAAAACGTCAAGTCCAATTCTGACCCGCTTGAGTTATGACAAAAAATTAGTTGAAACTAATTGTTTCTGTAATGGTATATTGCACAAATTCTTTCATGAAGAGTCATTTGATTCAACAAAGAAAGGAGTACAAGCAAGCCTATCAAATACATGGAAGAATAGCCAATAAATGTTTGGAAACAAGGTCCAATATTTAAATGGTTGAACAAAATGATGCAAAAGTAACATTATTTCTCAATGACTGAAAATAAGTGGAGGTTACAATCAAACAGT